AAATAAAACAAAAATGGCAAAACACCTTCATAAACAACATACACACAAGCACATGCATGAAAAATCGCTTCGGGGATCTTTCAGCAGATATCAGTTCTGTTCCTTTCTTCATTCTTGAAACATATTAGAACTAGTACTAAAACTATAATTTTTTCCATAAATCTATTACGCAGGAACTTCTTAGCTCATTTAGTGTTGGCTACATAAAAAATGTTCAATAGATCCAAATACAATATAAACTCTTTCGTTTTTTACTTTCCAGATACAGATGAAAAATTTTATGTTGTTGCTACAACAACTACGTTCTCACTAAACAGAGACTGAATTGGTATTATGCTTGAAGTTAAAAAAAAAATCTTGCTCAGATTCTGATACACTGTCTCCATGTGCCTAAAAAAATAAAATTTGTTTGCTTGGTTGTCTGTTGCCTCACTACTGAAGATAGTAGGATTCTGAGAGAAGAGAATGATTAGCAGCCATAAACAATGGCTATTTTGGTGCCCTGTATATCCACGTCAGAAAAAGGATAAAATAAAACAATTACAAAGCAGAAAGGCAAATAATTAGAAACTCATATCTAAACAAGGTATTAAAATGTTAAAATGTATTTTGTAAAATTAAGCCACAATAGTTTGATCCATTTCTGGTTTTATAGTTAATATGTTTTAGTTCAGTAACCTCCAAGAAATCTACCTGGATAACTGAATCAAGTGCTTATTCTTTATCCATTTTAGTGAGGTAGACCCATCATCAACAATAAAGGGAGAAAGTCCTTGCCCATCCCACAGCCCCATCAATGCTGCTCCTGGGATAGCAGCACAAATTTCACAGTGAGCTTTCAGTGAGCCTCCTTATGGCACTCTTTCAACACATTCTGCATCTCCCAGTCATAGCCAAATGCAAAACCTGGAATGGATCAAACTACTGTAAAAGAAACAGTATAGGACTAAGCAACCAAGACCTTCATATTATGAAGCTTGATAAAAACCAACTGTTAGGAAAGCGCACAAAACAAACAAGCATATAAAAAAACCCAAGAAACCCACATGCTTAAAGAAGAAAGATCCACCCTGTTTAAATATAAACAGTTTAGAACATAAGCATCTCATCTCTTTTTCCAACTGAACGGTTTTTTTCAGTCACAGCTGTTTAGCTGTTCTATGAATAAGCTATAAACTGTGGTTTTGAAAACTGGATATTTAAAATATGGAACATAATTTGTTTATAACATTATACTACTGCACTAATCTGCAGGATGGTGTGCCCTGTCCTGTCAGTCATTATCTCAGCGTAAGCAGCAAGGACTTAGCACATCACTACAGAAAAATCAAGTTTGATGTATGGGTCTGAAAAAGGACTAGTTACAAACATGTGATCAGGGTATAAAATATTTCCTGCAGGGTATAAAATATTTCCTACAGGAGATGCACATTTTGCTTCAACTTAGTTTTCAGACATTTCATAGCACATATTCACTTACCTAGTGGGAGAAGACAACCAAATCTGTTTGTTTGGCGTCTGCTTGTTGATTACATAGGTTCCCATGTCTCCACCTAATGTAACTGTTAACACTCCAATCTAAAACATAAAAAAATATTCATGCACTTTTACTTAACAAGAATTTTTTCCCCCCTAACATAAAGCTCTGTCAGTTCAACAAGCAAACAGCATATGAGCTGTCTGTATTATTGGTAGAAATTAAAAAAAAAAAAATTCTAGGTCATTTTGCCTTAAAGATGGATCTGGAGAGAGAAGCCACCATTAGTTGTGGGAATTTATGTTGGTCACTATGATGACGTGTATTGTGTGTGTGTAATCTATCCTGCAAGCTCATCTGGTTATGGACTGGGTCTCATATGAACCCATCACAAAGTTAGCACATAACTAAATGTGAGCTGTGAACTCTATTCTGAGACTGCCAACAAATGTGCTGCTAATTAGTGTTAAATCATCAAGTAGGAATCTGTTTCTCTAAGAATACAGTCGAGACCATCAATTAACTTCACAAAGAACTCCATAGTCAACAGACAACCATGAGTTTTGTTCATTACAAGACAGGTGTGGCCTAGAGACAAGAGGCTCCATAGCCAATTACAGAATCTGCGAGCCATTCAAGTCCACCTAACTTTTCTCTCCATAATTGTAAACAGTCTTCAAGCAAGTGGCCAAGCTTGTTACCTAGTAACCATGATGAAGTGCCTACATTCTGATTTATACCGCAGGAATGTTTCTCTTCTAAACTGTTTGAGACATGTTTCATGTCAGCTATCTCATTTACACAACACTTTCCTACAGTCTTTCTTTTCTATGCATCCTTCTCCCATCGTGAAGCTTTATAATTTTCACAAGTTTATTTTAAAGGACAACTATTACTTGTCTAACACTTGCCTTCCAAGTCCTAACTTAAAGGGTGTAAGAAATGTCATTTGGACTGAATTAACCTGCAAGTGACAGAAATTACACTTAATTCAAAGGAAAAGAAAAAATGCATTGCAAACTATATACTGTGGAAATGCATCAGGTATTAGGACAACCAGACGTTCCTTTTTCTCCCTATACCAGATACTATTTCACCTAACGTGCCACTGGAATGAAAACGAATGTGTTTTCTTGGTCATTAAAAGCTCAGTCTTTCTGTTTCCTCGTGTTCTAACATCTGCATGAAGCAACACAGATAAGTGAACAAAAAGTAGAAATGTTAGAAACCCTCAAGTCCTATAAATTATTCCTATTTAAAACACTTACATAGAAGTATTCTTTCTTCTAACTAATATACAGCGTTATTCAACATTTCTATATATTGTGCTGTATGATAAAGAGGTACAGGTAGCAAATAGGTTTAAAAAAATAATGAGAATATTATACCAAGGCTTAGGCCATTACCCAAATGCAAGATGATCCTTGCTCTGAAACCTAAAATTAAGTGCAAGTTAGCTTCAAAACCTGGAGGGCCAAACACTTACCCACTCATTCAGTTACATTAATGAAATACCACTTCAAAAAACAAAGGAAATTATCTTAATATTTTAAAAATTAAAACATGACATTTGAAAATTATTTTAATATATTGCATGTTGTTTAATGAGAAATTATTGCATGCTTCTTTGGATACTATAATTTCTGTTCTGTTAACAGGATTACCCTCAAAAGGAATTTTTTCCAGCACTCCAAGTCAGTAATCATATACAAGTTGAAAAGGTCAGAAAAATTGAAAACCTCCAGCTGTATTTCAAGTGCGCCACCTTGTGGCTTTTCATGTTATTATGGTTTTTGGTTTTGGAAAGCCAAGGTGATAGCATAATTCACCTCGAATCTAAATAGTAATTATGTGTTATCACATACAATACCACCTATCTATCAGTAAAATGCTGGTAGACGTTAAAACAGATGTAAACAACGTTCTTGGAACCTTTCAGTAAGGAGATGTCAAAAAGCACCAGCTTTGAAAGCTACAGGAGAGAAAGGCAAGTCAAGTACTAAAACATCATAACATACTGAATCTGAAGAAACATCCAGATTACAGAAGTCTCATTTTTCTGTTCAGATTTTTATGCATTCTTTATGGTGAACAGAAACTGAAATGCTAACAAGGTCTGGTTGAATGGCAGTTACTGAACAACACATCACTCTAATTGGAAAATTTACTGGATAAAATTCTGAGTACCAAATCACATCTACTAACAATTAGCATTTACTAACTGGAAAAAGGGGGTAAACCTGGTAAAATGTGATGCTTCCATTGTGCGTAAGATAAAAATGGGCATTGTACCCATGAAAGGTTAGAATACAGGTCCAAAAGCCTCTGTGCAACACACAACAGCTACAGTTGAATTCTCCTGTCAATAACCCACTTATACGTGCCTGAACCCTGATCTGGCGGAGATAGTAGGTAAAACCTCTAAGTGGCAGGCAGACAGATAGGAGCAGCCACAATTGCACAGCAAGACATGGTGTTGTGAAGTCAAAACGTGGAGTTTTTTTAACTCCTGAAGAGCACAGCAACATAACACCCTATTAACTCCACCAATTATGCATAAAACATGTAAGTATTTGAAAGAAATAGTAACTACTGTCATCTTTTAATCTATTAATCGTTTTCTTGAAGAAAGTGACAGGGGAATATTGCTATTATCAGTTTCCAAAACGGTTTCCAAACTGTGTTGAGAACAGCTAACTGTCATGAAAAAGACTTCACTATTTAAGCATTAATTGTTATACTTCTTCAAATCTGATGGTACCAAGAAGACAGCAAGTGTCCCTTTTCACCAAAATAGCTACCACAACCAGTAACTTCAGATATAGTATTTAAAACTGATTTCTGGATGCATTTCAGAGTTTATTCAGTGTGACCTGTTTCTTACAGTAAGATGACTAGATGAAGCCTGTATTGCTAAGAAATACCCCCACTCCCATAATAATTACATAAAAGCATAGAAACTGTAAAATATACCCCAAAGGAGACATCATAATCTTCTGGTGTAAAAGCTTCATCTGCTAAGTCCTCAAAAAACTCTACCAATGAGTCCAGTGTTTCTTCAGCCAGTTTTTCATAAGTAGCCTCATCTAAAGAGCTAAAATACCACATAAACAAACTCAAGATTACTAGGAGCAAAACACCTTTCACTTTAGATTGAAATGATTTTTCTTACAACCAAAACAAAACACAAAAATCATCTTGGTCAAATTGTAGATATGAGACAAATCATGTGCAAGTGGAGAAGCTTTCTAATAAGCTGTGTGCTGAAAAGCACGTTACATATTCAAGTGAAACTCTGGAACTTGGGAATAAAGATACTTAATGAGGCAATGGGTATTTGTTCTCCCCCCTCCCCCCAAATTACTACTGTGCCTAAGATAGAGCCTCATTATATTTACCTTTCATTACTCAAAGTTCCTGCATTTCTTAAATTCGTAAGTTTAACATTCTTGTTCTTAGACCATGTTCCAAAGGTTAATTGCTGCGGATGAGACTCCTAAAAAGAAGTTAAATTAGATGTTAAAGTAAAATATGACACACCATATTTTTTATTTCTTTAACCTAACAAAAAATTGTCTTTAATGTTAAATACTGATTATGTTGCAAGACCAACACAGAAACAAAAAAATTATCATAAGAATCCCACTCCATACACCTATGAATTTTTGAGGCACTCTTGCTTTTACTACAGACTAATGAAGGGGGAAAATGTCTTGTTTTTAAGGTACTGGACTAAGAAAGGTCATCCAAGTCTTATTCTTTGCTCTGAAAGAGAACTACTGAGCAATCATGGGTAAGTCACTGAGGCCAGCATTTTCAAGTGGCCACTAATTTTGTGTGCCTGTTACCATGCATGCCAGGTCTGATCAGGTTTGACAAGCATCCACATCTCCAGCTGAAAGCATCAGAGCTGTGGATGTTCCTTGCCCTTAAGAATAAAAAACCTCCCTTTGGTAAAATGATGTATTTTCATTGTAATTGCATTACTAAAAGGCTCAGACACAGGCTTATTAAAAAAGTATAAGGCGGGACAAGGTAGAACTTTCAGGTGTTTTTACACATGCTCTGGGTGGCTAACTAGCACACTCCGGCAGACTCGAGTCTGCTAATTAGCACATGTTGGAGCAGGCATTGGGCACATGTATAGGTGCCCTTAGAGACTGTAACTGATTCAGAGGCATAAGCTTTTGTAGGCAAGACTATTTTGTCAAATGTTCTCCCTATCAAAAAGTATCTGAGAAAGTAAGAAATTTCCATATGGTGACAGCAACACTAGAACTGTTCCAAATCTACAAAGTACAGTTCCACATACTGGAAATGACTGCCCAAATAACCAACAGAAATTTACCATTAGTGGAAAAATGCACTCGGCCAGAAAAAGAAATTCAGAGCTATATTGGCTTTAGCTTACTGACACAATTAAGGAAAAATTAAATTAATAGATGGGTACTATTTGGAACATCTTCTTTCCATCCAAGCAGTCAGAATCCAGGTAAAAAGCAAAGGAAAGTATATTTCCCAGATTACTTTGTGCTAGCATCATGGACAAGTGACTGAAGGCAGAGAAAAAAAGTGGTGGTTGGTCAATCCATAAAAGAAACACACTCACACATATTCTACAAGTAATTAATGTTGCAATTTTTAGCACTTGATTGCAGTGATAACAAAGCTAAGGGATTTTATGGCAATTACTGATTTGCAAAATGTATCTCATTTGCTTTCCCATTCAACCAGGGCATTCAACAGAGCAGGGACCACAAAAATATTACACCTCAAAGCAATAACCCTTTCCATTTGGCTCCTTCTCACCACTTTGCTGACTCAGGTCAAAAAAAAAAAAAAAAAAAAGGAAGAGTGCCTCACAGCCCACTTCAGTCAGTGGTGTCAGATCCTGAAAGGTACTTAGGCACCTGAAGAGGCAGATAGGTACCTAACTCTACAATTTCAGAACTAGTCCTATTCTTAACACTCAGCTGCTATCTAACCATATAGGCAGCCAACCCTGCTTGCCACGTAAGTTTGCCCCAGTTAACATGATCTGTCACACAGACCCAAAGCCCCAGAATGGGATTCTTTAGCTATCCTATCAAGGGGGCCTGATCTCACAGACATGTCCAAAGGATGCCCAAACTGTATGTAAGCCACCTAGAGGAAAAGAGCCTGCACATCATTAACAAAAAAAGACACGTGAGAGACAACAGAATTAGTCTGTTCTTGTGGTTAGCAAAATTCACATGCCTCTCAGCAGGCTATTGATATTCTTGCAGTGGGTGTCTCTGTTCTGCTGGAGTTGTTCAACTCTTCTGCTATCCAACTCCCTTGCTGACCCAATGAAAATTTAATTTATACACAATGGAAGAGACTGAGCAGTGTGGCTAGGGCACTCATCAAGACCCCATATCAGTCAGGTAGAACTAGTATCTGAATCCAGGTTCTGAATATTCCAGGCAGGTGCCCTAACCACTAGACCAGCAGTTCCCAATCTGTGGTATGTGTACCACCAGTCGTATGCAGACAACTTGTCAGTGGTGCGCATTAACAGATTTATTATAATTACTTCCTTTGACCAAAATTTGCTGGTGGTACTTAAGGCTGAACTGAAAAGCGTGCTGGTGGTACTTAAGGTTGTATTGTTTTAAATTCGTGGTGTGCAATCTGTCACAGCTTGGGAACTGCTGCACTAGGCTATGGTTATTTTGCTTGCTCTGTTTTTTCATTAATGGGATGGAAAAGTAGACAAGGATTAGCTAAGTATCTGCCTGGTCTTAAAAGACTACTTTGGGAGGAGGAGGAGGTTTAGTTATGAGGATGGCAGGCAAAGAAAGGCACCTCTCTAGACTACCTGGCTAGGTGCAGCAAGTCAGGCAGCCAAGGCCTATTGCTCTCCTCTCTATATTTCACCCCACACTTGCTGAGAAACCACTAGGCTGGTTTCAAAGAATTTCTCCCTTATGCATCTCCACATATTTGCTGGGTGTCCTGGCTCCCCGTCTGGGATGCACAAAGCCCCTGCCCTGCCTTTAGACTAGGACAGCCAACTCCCTTGCACTGCT